GTCTCAAAAAATTTGAAAAAATATGTTAAAAGATAAAAATTATGAAAACGTATAAGTAATATTTAGAAATTACATCAAAGTAATACTTTTATATATAAAATAAATTTGAAATATTATATATGTATAATGTCGGGTTGATTTAGTCTCGGGTTGACTTTTTTTAGTCAAAACCAAACCAACCCAAGTATAGTCAGGTTTTTTTTCCAATACCAAACCAAGTCAAACCAAACCAGCAGTCGTGTTTTTTTTCCAGTTTGACTCGATTTGCGATTTGATTCGATTTTCGGTTCAATTTTGTACACCCCTACAATTTACCTTCCTTAGAGTTGGTGTTGGGATATGTAACAGGTGCTACTTCTATGATATTGAAGGTCAATTTAGTCCACCAAGCCTATAATATTATCAATTTGCATATTGCTCATTATTGAAAAGAATACAATAATAAAAAAACAAGAAAATTTTATGTTAAAAGCTAGAAAATTAATGTGTCAATTCTCCAATAATTAAATTGTCAAAGTTGAGGTCTGCAAGTAATTAATATATTAACTTGAGAGGAGGAAATTATTCAAAATGTCAATATTTTAACATTTAATAGGATTCATTGTCAACACTTTCAATATTTAGTAAAAATGTCGAAAAATAGTTTATTATGTATCGTATTTAAATTTTTACTAATTGTTTTAATTGAAAGAATACAATTGTTAAATAACAGAAATGAGAAATTTAGGGGAGAGAATAATTTTTAAAAAGGAACAATCCCTTAAAAGTCATCAGTTACAAAAATCAAAACTGAATACTTCATCGGCGACCCTATTGTTGATCAATTTTCTCATTATCGATATTCAAGATTCAATTGAAAATACTCAATCTCTGATCAATTTATTTTGATTAAAACCTATTTTTTCTGTTTGGTAAGATAAATTTGAACGAAATAGGACAAAATTCTTTTTGTTGACAAGCAACTTTGGAGAAGGATTTTTCTGCTGGAAGTTCGATAAAATTAGTGGAATACAAATTGGACCATGTATTAGTTAATTGCTTCATCCCTAATATGTTTCTAATTGATTATAATTTTGATATGAATTTTTTTACATAATTATAAATTGTATTTATTTTCATTGTAAATTGTATGTATTATGGACAACGTATGAATAATTAGTTTTGGTGGATTCGTTGAATTTTTTTGCTTGTTGAATACGAAAATAATAATGGATTGTTTGAAGACATGTTTTTTTCATTGGCTGTTTGTTTTTAATTTTTCAAATCAAATTGTATACCTACGAAAAATAAATTGAAGCGGGTACAATTTTTTACGACAATTGTACTGTATTTTCGTTTATTTATTTGGTTATTTGTTTTCTGTTTATTGAACTACATTGTATCTTAGAAACCACACAACATAAATACAAATTTATACCATAATGTAACTTATAAATAAATACAAATTTATATCATAATGTAACTTATAATCCACACCAGACAGATATAATAATTATTATGATCTAATGAATACAGCAAATATGCCATACTAAATAGAATCTGAAAAAATCATCATTGTTTGTTTAAAATGAATACAAATGTATAAAGTTAATATGTATCTTAACTTGACTGGATACAAACAACACTCTTGTAATGTCCATAACTAGAAAATGATACGCATAACATAATGAAGACAAACACATGTAAATACAGTAACTTGTTAAGCTCATAACACAACTACAACAAATATGCCATAATGAATACAAAACAATCAAATAATAAGGAGTGAATACAAT